CAAACCAGGCCTATACATTTATCTCTTCGGTTGGGCTAGCCCCATACTACACAGAAACGTTAACCGAGACGTCTCTGTTGCCAGCTTTGCAGCTGGCCATAGCACTAGTCAAAACATGAAGCAAATCAACGTGTGTGTGTGTGTGTCTGTTGGTTAAGTGGTGTGTAGCTAAAAACATTCTCACAGACTTCTAGTAACATGTCGTGACTTAAACATAAGAACATATTATGGCTAAGGCTACAGTTATACACGTCATAATAATAATATTAAACACCCTGTCTGCTGACAGTCATCAACTCTTCTCTCTAGTTATCCTTGACCAGATGTACCCTGTAGAAACTCATGAGCATGACTAAGCATTTAACAGTCTAACTAGACATCCTATCTCCACTAAACATTTCTAATACATAAAGTATCTATCCAATTTCTATCTGACTAAAAATACCTAACAAAGTAAAACTTTATTTAATGCATCACAGCTGCCACTGCTTGAATTCTCTGCTTTGGTGAATGCTTATTTTGTGTTTTGAGTTTATGCTGAAGGTGGGTTTGTTAACATGAACACCATTCCCACTGAAGAAGCTGCCACCTGGCTCAGAAAATGGAAAGAGACTAATCTAAGACAGGGGCAAATCTGAATTTATGAGTCATTATACAGTTTTGGACAAGGATCCGAGAATAACGGAAACAGGTCGAGTGGGAGTATAATACATAGCACATAGAAACAGGATACTAAGGTGAGAAAGAGTACAAGGCAGCAACAGAAACAGAAACACAGACTGGGAGAGAGATTGCAAGAAATTGAGAATATTTGACCTAGTTATGCCTCTTACTTTGCATTTCCTAGTTTAGGTGTCTTTAGTTTTTGGCAAGCCAGAAGCCTGGAAGGAATGAGGGGCACATTTTGAACTAAATGAGGAAGATGCTCCAGCAGTAAGGCTAGTCAGGTGGATTAGCCTGCTCCCTCCCAAGGCCAGGTTAGGCAGAAAGATAGCCAGGATGTCAGACAGTCAAAACTGAGCTAGAGCATTCACCTCTTTCACCCTCCTTGCAGCCCACTGACGTCAGCCACCCAGACTACACGACTCTGCTGCAAACAGCACACCTGCTGGCTTTACAGTCCATCTGGCCCAGCTCCTTCTCTGGCACAGCTCTCCAAGCAAAGAAGCAGGTCTGTTTACAACTTGGGCACACACTCACTATCCTACAGTAACTGCAGTATGTCTTTCATGGCAGAAAAGGGGGTTACTGCAGTAGCAAGTGACAAGAAACATGCATAACCTATTAAAGGTAGGGTTGGCAATCCTGGAAAACTACCAAGAGGAAACTGAATTTTGAAAGGAGACAAACAAAGAAATCCCACCCTTTTGTTCTGACTTCTCTCCAAAACACAATGTGCACTGCCTGACTACTACTGATTTCAGGAAAATAACAAATTCCCCCCAAACAAAACAGAGCGGATAATTACCTGTCCAGCAGAAATACAGCCCCCATCACTTTTCAGCCCCTTTTGTTCTCTCAGTTGTCACCATCATTCAAAAGCCAGGCCAATGTTAATTCTGGTTTTACTTCTTGTAGCATCCAACTTCTTTTTAGTTGTAACTTTCTTATACACAGTGTTACCCATCCAGGTCTGTGGCCTCGAACTGTAGTTGGGGACCTCTGGTTCATGGCTAAACTGCTTTAGCCCTGGTTTACAGCCATTAACTAACCTTAGAATCTCGGGCTTTTCTGGCAGGGAGAAGTGAAGAGGGAGGCTAGCTAACTCTGTTCAGAACAAAGGCTTTATTCCATCCCAGTAAAAGGAACACTGCATGTGGCCTCTGATGCAAAGTTAACTGCATCACAATCCTATCTATACACTTAGAGCTGACCACTGTCTGGCTGCATGTAAGAGGAGTCTGTCCATGCAGCGGTCTCCTCGTCTCATACTGCACAAACAGGTCTGCATGTAAGAGGAGTCTGTCCATGCAGTGGTCTCCTCGTCTCACACTGCACAAACAGGTCACAACAACAACATTTCCTTTAAGGCTATTTGTCTTAAAAAGGAAGACTTAGCTTGTAACAATGGTCTCTGCTTGTGAACGAAAGATGCTGTGAGGACCTTCTCCGCCATAGCTCGCTAGTTTTGGCTATAAAAACAGAGCAGTAACACGTCTGCCTGCAGCACCTTGTGGGAGACTCTTGGCTCACGCAGAGTGCACGGGCAGAGTGCGCGCAAGTAGGAAGTTAAGTTGACCAGCAGGTAGGCCATCCAATGGTTTTGTGTGGGATGAGTACAATTATTGGTCAGGCATTTTTCAGCCCTGCTGCTGCCACAGATAATAACTTTTTTAAATTCATGTTGTTAGTGCATTTAATGTGTTCATCGCCATCGGGATGAGAAAAGAATTTCAAGATATGTAGCAAAAAATGCTTCTGGAAAGAATCCCCAACCCTACCTTTAATGCTTAGTCCACATAGCAGGTTATATGTCTTGATGTGCTGTGGAGCAGCGCATGTTGCTGACTAGGCAGAGAATTTTCTACCGACATCCCTTTCTTACACCTGTACAGCATCTGCAAAGGGAATGATTTCATCTTGTATTTGATGTGACAGGCTCTCTCACCTTTTTATGAAATCAGCATGAACCAAGGCTCAAAGCAAGGCTTGTAGTAGTAAGACAAAAGGAAGAGAAAGACTTAGTCTGGTTTTTACTTTTCAAAGCAAGATGTCTCAGCTAACAAACATCAATAGTTTGATCTTTACTGCGTTGAATTACCAATTTGTCAAGGAAACTGCTATACATGCACAAAGAGATGTCATGATTAAGGGATAACATTAAATCCTGCATCAACATTCAACTGTACATTGTAGCCTTGCTTCTATCAGTCTAGAGCCACAGGAGTCACGCTGTGTAACTTGGAAAGCGTGCTCTGCAGAGCAGCAATGGGATACCCTGTGTGCATTACTGATGTCAGAGGTCCAGGCGAAACTACATGAGCATCCACACTGAATGATGAAGATTAAAACCAACAAGCAATGATCAAGAAACCAACACTCCCTCGAGATAAAAGTCGAACTGAGACATAAGATAAAAAAAAAAAAGTCCTGCAAAATGCCTTTTTTCAGTCGAACATTCCAGGATGTAATGTGATTTGGGATTCTATAAATCTGAGCTTGAGGAAAATGTCTACACAGCTGAACGACATGCAGAGCCTGGGTTCTAGCAATAGTGGGTCACGTTAGGAAAACGCAATATTATGTTATTTGAAAGGACAAGCATAACTCTGCACATCTCTGTTCAGGATCTAGTTTCCCCTACTATACACCTGCAGCGGGACGTGCAGGCACATGCTGCCCCTCTGCTTTTCTGTCCGCCAGGTCAAATCGCTGCACATTTCAGTGCAGTGAATACACGAACCGACAGGTGACTCACCTGGATGGTGCACGTATATTCTGTATCATCCAGCAGTCTGACGGTGCAGCTGTACTCCCGCTCAAGATTCCTGATGCTGCCACTCATAAATCGGCTCAACATCTCGGAGAATCGCTGCTCCGCGTCTAGGACCAGAACAATAAACTCAACACCAGCGTGTCAGTGAACGTCACATAAACCATATTCCCCGGTAGCCTAAACGACTACCAGCAGCGGGTTCCGTAGCCGAGGCGCGCATCACTGTTAAGTTTTCGTGCAGTGAGCCCGTAATAACAGCAGAGTCCAAGGGCGCCCACATCCAGAGCCAGAGGCAGCTCAACCCTGTTGTCTCTGTGCGGAGCAGACTATCTCTCACCACTGCTACTAGAGCAAGCGGGCGGTTCCTAATGAAAACTGACGTCAAAGTGAACCAACGGGATTGGGTGACATTTTGTCTTGGCTCATTATTGTTTTTCGTACGCCAAAATGTGTCCCGACACACAGCTACCCAGGTTCACGAAAACAGCTAAACGATTTTATGTTTATAAAATGACACCCATTGTTTTTCAACTAATTATAGGGCTATGTTTTATATTGCGAAAGTATTGCATGATGATGGCAGCGCCTTGCCCTGTTTTTAATCAAAGTTTTGGAAAAAACGCACCCAGAAAAACCTATGGTACGCGAACAAGGAATTATTTATCACAACCCTTCCTCTGCCATAGTGGGTGAAGATTGAATGTATTCGACTGCCCCCTGCAGGCCAGTCATTGTCAGTGCGCTTCAGTGTACCATGTTAGAAAAACATGATACAGATATAGGCTACTGCCGGTGGCCTAGTCCTGAGGGCTTTGTGATGGGTGCTGGACAGTGATGTAATTTTCTATCATTAATTCCAACTTGTTTCCAGTGTGAACTTCAACATGTCCATCCATTATAGTAAGGCTGTGCATTAATTCATGTGTTTTTGAGCGAGTCTGAAGTTGTTTGAGAGATTTTTGAAAAAAAAAAAAAGCTGAAAAAATCTTGAAATATAAAAAATTTATATTCATGTTTTTGTATGTATACATTTTTGGCACGAATATGAAAAGTGGGTACAAAATGCATAAAAAGAGTATAAATGACATTTAAGAGTAAATGACACTGGATTTTAAAAATATAACTAAAAAGAAACTTGCCTGACAAATTTCATGCCACAAGCTGTAATAAAGCCAAAATGATCGCCAAATCAAAAAAAAAAAAAAAAAATTGAGAAAAATTTACATTTTTGCCCGAATAGAGAAGAAGGGTTAAGCACACTTTATGTAAAATCTTAATTCATAAAAATTGTAACTGAAATAAACGTATAGTGAGAACTACATGAAACAGAAGCATGTTTCTGCAGACTGTTTACTGACGGACAGGATCGACGCAGAGGTCAGTGTTTCAGATTCTGGAGTTAAAAGTTGTTGTTCAGGGTTCTTCTCTTCTGCTGCTGGTAGCTGTCATTCCACTTCTTTGGCCACATGTAAGATTGACCTGTATACAAAGTCCCCAAACTCCTTCAAAAATCTGGTAGTGTTTTCAAAGTATTTGGGGGTTCATGTTTGTAGGTTTTGAAACTACAGTTCCCATACTTTGAAGGTTTTGGGGGATGTAAACAGGAAGTATACTGCAATATTGGCATGGAGTCAGTTTACAGTCAACAGTAGAAAACATGCCGCTGTCACAATTTAATTTGATGGTTCAATACCAAATGCAAAAAGGTTATAATGTGGCCAAAATATTTACAAATGTTGGCTAGAAAAACAGGGCTCAAGACACAGCTCACAGCCAAACGATGACTATGATTTACAATGGTGCTTACCTTCTTAAAGAACTCAAATTTATAGCACACAGCAGTACACAGTGTAGCACTAGTAACCCTTTAATACACCTCACTCACCTATTCTAGATGTAATCAACTTCACATTAAATGTGAGTCATTGTTTTATTTCAAATTAAATAGGCTGCAGCCAAGAAAAACAGCTGGCAGTGCAGGTCAAACTGTGATACCTGCAGTGTTCCTGTGCTGTCATCAGGTGGTGCTGCTGTCAACTAAAATACCTGGAAGCATGTTATTACAGTACAAGCAGTTATTTCACCATCAAGATAACTGCATAATTGTGGGATACTGAACAGTGTCCAGTTCTAAAGACATGAGACTGATAAATGCAAGCTCAATTTTCTCCGGTCTTTCCACATTAATCAAGAATACATACATGAATGAATATTATTTTTTACAGATATACAGAAAAATGTCCATCATAAATGTTTATTACAGAGTATAGAACCATACACAAAAACACAAAGCTGTAGAATTTAGTACAGATGCAGTCGTAACAGCATAATCACATTTGTGTCAGCGCATCACCATCATTTTTTTTATAAAAATGTTAAAAATGCAGTGATGGATGTTTAACTTGGAATTCTGTGGGTCAGTTGTCGAACAGGAAATGCCACCATAGGACATCTCAGTATTTTTTCTTTTTTTTTTTTTTACTTAATGTCTGAGGAAGACAAGAATGACCTTGAAGAGTTTGACCTTATCAAAATACAAGAATGCATTTTTACTTTATAGTACACCAACATGCATAACCAGCTATAACAATATATACATACAGTAAGTGTGTGATTAAAACGTACATTTGGTCTTTAGGTTCAGCGTTGCAGTCCCAGAACGGTGATGAGGTCCTGCAGCGGCTTGGTGTCTTCTGGCTCCAGCAGAGCATGCTGTCTGCAGAAGAATATGAGGTGTGTGAAGAGTGTGTTGAGGTGTGGGTGCAGCCCCAGAGCAAGTGTCTCTCTGTAGTGAGACCAGTAAATGTGAGCCAGAGTCCTGAACAACAGCAAAAACACTTTCTGGACCAGAAAGACAAAGCCTGACGGAAACACTGAACCTGGGAAAGAGGGAACAAAACAGCAGTTCTAAAACTGCAATCTGATGTGGGATAATGCAACATAGATGGTATAAATGAATTTTACCTGCTTTTGTGGGGAACACAGCTTCATCAGTCAGTAGCTCCTGAATGTATGACATGGCATAATCAAAGTAAAGTGGAGCAGAGCACTTCAGCTTTCTGCCGTGGTCGTCGGTCCAAACGTAAACCCTGTCAACAATAACACACAGCTAGTTACTGTTCAACAACAACTACTTTAATAGCAAACTTGTCACACATAGCAGTAGAGGTTTTCACCTCAGAATTTGACCCAATCCACAGAGTAAATGGAACATGCAAAATTTCTTTCTGATGTATTTGCATGTACATGAATGGCCCTACTAAGATACATTAATAAGTTATAGGTTGAGCCTAAAAGACAAAGGAAACTGCAGACTATTTTTTGTTTCTCAAATGATAAATAGAACTGTGATGACAATTATCGTAAGAGAACTTCATGCACTTAAAAAAAAAAAAAAAAAAAAAAAAAGATGCTTATAAGATAAGAACTGGTTAAAGCAAGACTTTTCATTTTTTATTTAAGCAGTCAGTTCTAAACTATACACACAAATAAGTAATTTAACTACTTAAATCACTATGCAGATATGATTGTAGCTGAACTACCAGCAAGCTACTGCAAAGTGTAGTTAGAACACAATCTCAATTACATGTAGTTCACTACTCCACACTGGAGGTGAATAACATTACGGAAGCTGAGCAGCAATTTGCCTTTCCAGAAACAACATCATGGTTACTCAGGATATTACACTGCCAAATCTGTAAACAGTTTTCATAGACATCATTTCTTAATACTTTGTTACTGCAACATCTATGGATGGACCTTGACAAATAAGACAATATGCATGACAACTAAGAAAGAGTTCCTAGTTGTGATTTGGGCGAACTGACCCTTTAGGTATGTGTCATAAAACTTACATGTTGCCTGGTCCACACGCAGTTGGGCAGGTGCTGGGAGTGCAGAACTCGGACAGTGCACTGGAGAACAGGTTTATATGCTTGAAAAACGCCACCGCTAAAAGAAATCAATGAGAAAAAAAATTACCTGTACAAATTTCTTGTTTGGGTGTTTTTGCTTTGTTGGGGGAGATATACTGAGCTTGAGAAAAGAGAGACAAGCAGTCATATATATCTGTTGTGTTTAACTGGGATTACTCACTGTTGCTGGCAAGCCATTCGGCCTTGTCGACGCCAGGCGGCAGCGCTGTGAGCGCTAACATGTCTGTGTGTGTGATCTGCTGGCACACATACTGCTGCTGCAGATATGGACGCTCCTCCAGATTATTGTTATTAATTCCCCTTGGGAGGATAGTGCAGAGTTAATGAAGCACAGACAGAAAGAGAAAAACAGAGAAAGACAGAAAATACTGTTGCACAAAACAATCAATAGGTCAGTGGATTAATTACTCCTGCTGCAGTCAGTAGATAACCAATTTACAGCCTCTGATGCTCTCTCATCTGCCTTGCACACAAACAAATGCATCCAAATCCTGCTGTGACTGCAGACCTGAATGTTCAGGTCTGTTCAGTTAATGTAATAAAGGCAGTCAATTCAGGGCCAGACAAATTACTGAAGCTCACTGCTGCAGTGGTCAGTGCTGCAAAGCAAATAACTGAAAGGTCAAATATTATGCAACATCAGAGCTGAGTGCTGAGGTTTGCTGGCTTTACCAAACGTCTTAGTTCATACTGATAAGCCTTAAGGTAGTGCTTTACAACCAGGAATGGAGGACTGGCAGCATCTTGTGTGAAAGAGTAAGTGCAAGCAAAAAAAATGAATATTTGTGAAGGCCAACATGTACTGGACAGTCAAACATGGCAGCATGATTTGACTTCATGCAAATCTTTGCCAAAGTTAGGCCTACTGTGCTGTAGTGCTGAATACCTTGGTGTGTTTGTTTAAGAGCTAGAACCATTTATAAGACAGGGCTTTGGATTAAAGTGAATATTTCAAAATGTAGTACAATCAGGCAGCTGACATGTCTCCACACACAACAGCTGAGAGTTTACTCAGTGTGACCTTGCCCACTGCGATAAGGGAAACACTGTTCTCTCTTTCACTCCTCATGTTGTGAATGTGTGTGTGAGGACTGGGCAGGGGAAATACAAAGAAAAACAGCAGGTCTTTGTACAAAGAAAGAAGGAAGGTAGAGAGAGAGAGCCAGTGACAGAGGAAAGTGTAAACATTAGCTGTACAAAAGGATGGTAGTGCAAATCCTACGCATGTAAACTTTATTGACATGCACAGGAACTAACATCCTGTTCAGTTCCAGCTCAGTGGAATTAACCCAGTTACCACCTCTTGGCTACCACATCAACATAATGAACCCACAGCTACTTGTAATGTTGTGTTTATGTGTAAACACATTCCTCTGTGACCCCGCTTCTGCACTCTTGGTCATCCGTTTACCGTTACCTCTGTGCTGAGTTTGAAATGGTCTTCTCAGCCAGAGTCAGTGGCTCCGAAAAGATTCCTCCTAAAGCAAACATTTACATTTTGCCTAAGCAAAAACATGTTCTCTCTCCTTTTTTTTTGGTTCAAACTACTTCTCAGCATGTGGTCCCACTGACAGAGGAATCCACATTCACTGATGCCATCAGACAAATATGTACTGTAACACACACACACACATACACACACATACACACACACACACACACACTTATCTGGAAAGCATTCCTCAGTAAACCATGTGCAGTCTGCTTTCTAGACATTTTTCTTCTACATGATCCTTTTTCACATTAATTGATGTTCTTTCAGAAAACATGAAGCAAATAGAACAAAACTCATTTCCAGACAAGAGTTTGAAACATGAGTTTAAGCAGAAATCTGATGAAGAGTTAAGAGAAGAATACAACTTACAGTTTTTCATTGCTGATGTCAGAAGGCTGAAGAATCTCAACGTCCGTCTTCGTCTCCGAGGGGTAACTATGGCAACCCCCCATGGCGTAAAGCTAAGAGTGGAGCTGTTCGTCTTGCCAGTCCCCCCTTTTCATCCCAAACATACTAACCCACACACTTCTGCACACTACAAGCAGAATATGGTAATGGCTGTTCCAACAAACTTCCCTCAGCTCACAAATGGATTCATGCAGCTGACAGACAAACACATAAGTTGCCTTTTCCCCCAAAGTTTTCCAAAACATAAAAAAATAAATAAAATATATATATAGTTCCGTAATTGAGTATTGTCTCCTGTGTGGAAAGTGAAGCTCTTCAGCTGTCTGCCTCTCCTTTTGCTCCAGTGATCCAGTGTCAGTGCGTATATGCCTCTTTTGTCTGGAGGCCCACGCCCCACAGGCTCCTCCTTTTTCAGCTCCAAGCGGACAGGCAGGTTTCTCCAAAAGCCATTAAAGTATTCACAACTCCGCCCTCTTCCCCTTTCCACCCACTGCCTACATACTCTCACTACATGTAAACATGTGCTACAGGGACAACAGGCAGGTGCAGATGACAAAGGTAAGGTGGCTTTCCTCTGTAGAACTGGAATGAAAGCCAGGAGAGGGGTCGAAAGAGAAGCTGGAACAGCAGCAGCTGTGTTCAGTATCTGCGCTCCTCTCGTAAACTAGAGAGGAATGTGAGGACATAAGGCATACTGGAGCCAAGGAATGACGACAACATACCCAGAGTGAAAGTGTAAAAATATATACTGTAGATAGGACTCCATGCTCGGAAAGTGTTGTGAATATGACGAGTGTATGAACATTCTTTTCAAGCTGTTTGGCCTTAGCTTTTTCCAACATGCACTCGGTTCACTTCTGCCAGCAGCACAGTAAGAGCTAAGTGGCAGGCAGGTTTGCACTGTGGGAGATTGTGTGAGGATGTAGTTCTGACTGCGAGTGTGCCTCATAGTGACTGTATAGGAGACACACAGGACTGGGAAGCAACATAATCCACAAGCTCACCTGCCCCTAAGGTAATCATATACACCATAGACCAAGTCTTGCTCTCTCCCTGTCTGTTTGTACACTGTGTGTGTGTGTTCGCACGCGTGCATGTGTAGTGTACAAGTAAGTCAAACAAAGGCTTCTGCTTCATTTTGATCCGACATATTTATTAGGTTCATGTCTGAATGTACAAGCTAAATTGACAACATGTAACAGACACATTACTCTCTAAATGGAAAAAAAGAAAAACACCAGCATCAGTCCACTTTACAAAAAAAAAAAAAAGACACAGTCGGCTTCCCCCCCCCCCCCCCCCCCCCCACACACACACACACACACACACACACACACACACACGTCATAAGCTATAATGCAAGATTTTACATTTCAAACTGCCTCAGTAACAGACAATAGGATGAACCTAACGCCCATTGTCTCTCAATTAAAGGTTTGGGCACACACTGTTAATACAGCACATACCCAATGAGGTGAATGAGGCTAATATACAAAACTTAATGGCACTTTAAGATGACTGTAGTGTAACCCATGCCATATTCATAACATAACAAAAAACAGTGCACCCGCATCACACTCAAGGTGAAACCTCTCTCTCACACACACACACACACACGGGTCAGATACAGTGCTTACGTTTGGTGAAAAACAGGATGACATACTCTGACCCTGTGCACAAACGTGGGGGGAGGGTGGACAGCCCTGTTTTTTTTGTTTTTTTTTTTACCCTGATTTAAACCAATGCTACCTCCCTGTGCCACTCCACGTCAAACAGCAGAAGTGGCTGTGATCTAAGAATCGTTAACGTCTTTCTTTGACATGCTGCATCCTCTCCTCCTGCTGATAACTCCATCACATTACTTAAGGAAACACACACACACACACACACACACACACACACACACACACAAGCGAGGGAGCAAACAAAGACTGCTTCATACAAATCCAGAACTATAAGACCACTGCGAGAAAGGAGGCTAATTTACAGATATGGAACCCAGTTGTACACTGGTGGGAAGACACACTTTGGCAGAAAGCACTGAAGAAAATTATATCTAAAGAATCTATAGGATTCACTCATTCAAGTCAAAACATTCCCACCTCTCCAAGTAGGGAATAATATGGTGGTAGTTTAGCACCACCAAATATAAACCAAAAGTGCTTCTTGAAAAAGTGCTTTTAAAATAAATCTACAATCTGTGTAAATCGTTCCACAGGCATGTACGCGATTACAGTTGAGCTGACCTGAGAGAGAGAGAGAGACTAGGAGAAAGAAAGTAAAGCAAGACTGTCTGGCACATGCAAAGTTAAAGGATAAATACAGTTCATTACAACTTCTGCCATGTTTTGTAGTTTGGCCCTTGATTTTTATTAGTTATGATTGGATAGTATTAAACAAATTAACTTAATAACATAGTGGGGCAAGAGAAAATGTTTAGTTGAGTCAGATTACCTAAACCACATTATCCATAGGCAAATATGAAGGCCAACACTCCCAGAACATTGAGAGTAGGGCTGCCTACTTTTATTTTTAAATAAAGGTTCCTTGTAGAGTTTCGCCTCTAGTATCAATATGCAGCGGTTTTTACATGATTAGTTCGCATTTTGTTTCTTGTGCATGCAGCCAAAAATACACATGCATGGGTGACATGATATACATTCCCTCCATCAGGGCCACTTTAGTCCATCAATCAACAGGTGGCGGTAACATGCCAATATATGCAGCAATGTTGCCACAAATGCAGGAAGAAAGAAACACAGAAAAATGATCAGTCAGCAGTCCAAAACACAAAACATTCAGTTTATCACATCAGAAAGAGAAACACTGACATTCAGCTAGATTTGATGCTTATCAAAATAGCTAATTTTTTCTTTTGATAAACTATTGGCTTAATCAATACAACCGTTTCTCTCCAGATGATAATAATTACTCATTACATAAGATAGTATATGTGCACACATGATATAATAAAGGGTAAAAAGCCAAGCAGTATTGCTATTATTTGATGTTCACCTTCATTTTCTCTTCCCAATAAGACTGGTTAACCTGGTAGTTAGTTGAAAACTGATAAAAAGACCCAAGTTGTAATAAACAACAATTATCCTTTAAGTAAAAATTACAGAATAATGCCCCAACACATGCACACATGCACCCTCCCAAACTTCCATGTAGGAAGCATGTAGCAGAGGAACAGGAACTGATGCTGGTGTATTAACTGAAACACCTGACATCGTTATTGCCTCATTTCAACAGGTACAACACACGCATATAATACATATGTTGCAACCTGCAACACAACCGCCTTTCCAATACACTAGATTTATTCCAAAAATAGATATAACATTTATATATACTGTTTACATTGATATTACGTTTACATATTACCAAGTTTAGCCACAACCTAATACAGGTTCAAATTTCACAATATTACATTAAACAGCTCTGAAGATGATATGGTGATATGTGCACACCACTGTGTCTTGTGGGGACTTTTCTTTTTGCATGTGTGTATACATGTGTGTATGACACTGTGTGTGTGTGTTACACAGGTGTGCTTTCTTTGTATCTGCATACCTCTCCTTTGACCTGAGAATGCACTCTGTATCTCAGAGCTCAAAACACACATACAAGCAGTTGTCTACACACATGGATACAGCAGCATACACACACCTCTAAACCACATGAAATCTGTCAGAGGTTTTAGGAGGAAGTGACACATGATGCTCTAAATAGAAAAAAAAAAAAAAAAAAAAAGAGCATTTATGTTCCACATGAACCAAGCAAAGACTTGGACTGAGAGATGCATGAGAAAAGCCAAATTATTATCACTTGCATATTTGCACTAATGAAACATTTGCCTGACATGTACTGTACACTGAAATGCTAAAGACAAAGTAGCAGTTAGATTTGCAAGTGTCTTGGCTTTAATAATTATATGAATAGTTTTCTTGGCTAAAGTGTAAACAGTGAAATGTTCTGATAGAAAAGAAAAATCACTGGGCTATGGATCTTATGTCCAGAGAACAGAGCTGCTCAAACAATCTGAACTTCTCTTGCTTTATTTAGAAAGGATTTGAAGTTCAAATGTTTTCTTAGGCTCAAAGTGCCACAGCAGTCGGTACTCAGGCAGCGTCACCTCTGCTCATCAGAACAAGTATTTTACTTTCCCAAGTTCAATGAAAGAATTAAACCGTTCATATAAAACACAATTGGGCTTTTGGGGTCTGGCACAACAAAATGTTCTTTGAAACACACATTTCTCTCTGAAGCAGTTAAGGTGCAGGAGAAACATCAGTAGTACCAATGTGAAGATTTGTGGTATCCAACACAGAATGTATTGTTAAGGGCTGTTTGGCCTCAGCTTTGAGGATCTCCCATTCTTTAGACACAAAAATGGCATTGGACTGATGCTAACGGGAAGCAAAGTTGGCATGGCTTTGTGTTGAATGGACAAGTGATAAATGTGTGTACGTATGCCTGTGCCGCATCATTAGGCTGGTCCATTAGCAGACTGTCTCTCTATAAGGTGGTGGTGGGGTGAGGGGACAAATTCAGACAAGGTTGGTTTTATCTGCCAAGGATTTGAGGAAACAACTGCTGAGACCACTGGCATCAGCCAAATGCAGTGGAGGTGAATTGTCAAAGAACAGAAAAATGGCTCTATAGCAATACATCGCTTGAAGAAAAAAAAAACACACAACAACAGGCAACGTTTCTCATTTGTCTCACCCTGACTTTCTTTAGCTGTATGCAAACATATAAACACACTTACTGTGTGACAGCAGCTGACTGATTAGTTGAACTTGTGGTAGCTGGGTTGGGAGAGTCTCCTTTTTCAACTTCTTTCTCATTGTTTTTCCCTTTGTCTTTGATGGAGAGTCCCTCTACTGGCACTTTATCTGCTTCGCTATAAAACAAACAGATAAACAAACAAAAAAACAAATTAAAATGAGTGCCGGGGAATTGCCACTTGAACTGAAATCATAGAACCCAAGTGCAGATGCTAGTGAATGAACTTTAGCACACTTTGCTATCAGCTCAGTGTGCACAGCTTTAGCACACTTTGCTATCAGCTCAGTGTGCACAGCTACACGTGTATCCACTGTTCTGGTCCTGCCAACACATAGCAGGCTGTGACTGACCATACCCAGAGTGAGCTACAGTTTGTGCCAAGGTATCACATTCAAAGAAGGATCTATTTAACTGTAGCATGCCTAGAGGCGCACCGTACATTTGTTAGTAACTTGGTAATGTACCGATTTGTTAGAATGTTGAGATGTTTGGTTGGTAGCAATTTTTGTTCATAGCATGCTATGTGACATACTGTTAGTATAGTGTGGTGCCTAGAAAGAAAACATATCAACTTATTAATGTTGTGACTGAGACAGGAATCATGTGCATCACATAGATTATTCATATGATACTGATTTATTGCTGTAATTGAACAGGTAAGATAACAGATCACCATTTGATTTTTAAAATACCAAGTAGACTGCTTCATGCTGGTGGTTGCTGTTTAGACCAGTCCTGACATCCTATAAGTCACCAGTTGTGAGTTAGTAAATTGTGTTTATAAATTGGGCTTGGCCTGAAATATGGCACGAGGGATTGTTACGCCACATCCTGTTAAATGCAACAAGCAAACAAAAACATGTGGCACATCTGTGCTTCTAATGGCCTTCAATCCTTCATACAACTTCAGGAAAACATTCCAAACTCCAGAATGAAAGACCTCAAACACAACATACCGTCTGACTGCTGGTCTGAATACTCTGGAGTCAAGGGGAGATGAAAAAGGAGGAGACAGACAGGAGGAGGACGATATCAGAGGAAAAACAGAGAAGGTGGAAGTCAAATTGTGTGGGAAAATTTTTGGTTGGGAAATGGAAATGAGGGCACAATAAGAGAGGGACAGCACACTGTACCAAATCAGAGCCACTCCCCTTCTTTTGTGTGCGAGCATTTATACCTGGTGAAGACTGCCCTCCCGTTTTTGGCGTCCACTGTGAGCCGGATGGTCTCCTTGCCAGCACCAGTAGTGATGGTCTCTGTGGTGACCATATCAACAGATGTAGACTCTGTCTTGCTTTCTTCCTCTTCGCTGTCTGAGCTGCTGGAGGAAGAGCTGTCTGATGCCACCAGTGGAGCTTTTCTTGCCACGCACACACTCCACACACATGCTGCATGACAGAGAGGTAATCATCTGACTTTACATTGGCAGTGTGTGCATTTCACTGGAAAAGTCAACTCAACACAGATGTAAGCAATTGGGGGGCAGGAGTTAAGAGCTGCCACATGCACACACAGACATGGGTCTATAAGGCCTTAAGTGTCACGTTACATTTATACTGGCAGAGGTTTACCAACTAAAAACCCACAGGTTCTAACCCTGAATAAGTGCATTTCAGTCTGGAGTTGAGTGAGTGTTCACACAAACAGCAACATTTAGGAGCTTTAAAATGACATCTTTTCCTGTTTACCATTTTAATTTTATTTTAATCTGACAACTGTATTAATGAACATTTACATTTACTTTGTGATATTACCACTCAAATAGCTATGTTACAGCAACTTACGGTTCTGGTTTGGTTTGGTGTTGTCTGATCCGCTGAGATCTGAGTCCACAGGAGAGCTGCATCTGGGGCCTGTTTCCGAGCTGGGAATTCAAAACACAGATTAAGAAAAAAACCTGCCAATGGGCTACTGACACACAGTTATGTTGTGCGTCAGTGGTGGTCTGTACATAGGAGTATTCAAAATGATAAAGTTAGTATAAGAACTTTATTTCACAATAGTTTTATAAATAAATGCATACTATGATTTACTTAATGCGACTTCTCAAATAAGATCTGCATATTTAGAACACACCCTGACTCACCAACAGAAAGGCTGGAAGTCAGTGAACTTGGCCCACCCTTTCTCCTCTGCAGCAGCTGGTTGTGAGGCTGGAGTGTCCCAGGCTGTAAAGCCAACTCCTGCTGCGGGAGCTTTTGAGTTCACCTCCCCAAAGTCTGCAATCCAACCAGAACCTGCATATGAACACAGTATCATACACACACACACACAATGAGTAGGGCCTGTGACTGGACAGCAGAAAAACCTGTTTTAGTCCTGAGACAGAGCAGAACAATTATGCATTACCATACACTATAACATATCTCACTCTTTGTAGCCTCATCCTGGCCAATGCTTGAGAAAGGATCCAAGTCATCTTTAGGCTCCTCTCCTTCCTCAGAATCTGAGTCTGCTGCTCTGTCAGAGGCCTCAGTGCCAGAAGCTGCTGTCATGTCACAGATCCTACTCGCTGTTGGGCTCTGGGAGGACTGTGACCCACCAAACCTTGAAACAAACAATATATTTTAGTATGTCGGATTGAGTAAGGACAATTACTTCACATCCATCATGAAATTTCAAGCATAATGAGAAAATAAATTATTCTAAAACATTATGTTGAGAGCATCTCTATCATGCTTGTGTAGCTTGTCTACCTGTTCCGGCACTTGGTTTGTGTTGCATAGTTAATCTCTTTCTCCTCCCAGATGTCCTCCTCCTCCTCATCATCAAAGGGCTGAATCCTCTCCTTGGAACAGGCCTCAAACACAGCTGTGTTAGCCTACAAAGAAGAGATGGACAATTTAAAATGTGCAAAGTTTTAGCAGTGTACGTCAGCTTGAATAAACAGCATTGAATCATATCATTGTAATGTAAAAGGAAAGACAGAACTGTATGTGGGTTGTAAAGCTAGGCAATTGTAGGACATTGATATGTGGTCTTTGTCTTGACATTTTCTGATCCCTAGGGGCTATGCATCTTCTTAAAAAAAAGGACATTTACAGCCCTAATATGTTACAGAAATACAATGTTATGGAACAAATATGCGAATAAACTCACACTGTCCTGGCCTGCATCAATGTTGATATTTATCTCTGCAATCCGGTCAAATGTTGCCCTGCAATAACAACAGCAATTACTCAACACACAAAGACAAGATTACATTGAGCCATGAAGATGTACATCAGTTAATTTACTCAATGCTGTCATCATGATCAGTAAACTCCTCATCATTGAATCCAAACTGATCCACAAAGTTAGCTGTCATCTGCTGGATCTGGTAGTCTGAAAATGCCTAGAACACACACACATCACAAAATTGGATTAGAATACTATCACCGATAAAAGAAGCACTCTGTATTTTTGCGTGCACTTATGTATAAGTACCTGCTGTATTGTCAGTTCTTTGGGGAAGGGACTCTCCATATCATCTTCTGAGGAAGGGCGTGGGTTTCCAGTGCCAATCTGA